CAGAATCAACAACAACAACAAACCCTAGAAGCAAAAAAGGGAGCAGATTTCAAAAACCCAGAAACAGATTCAGGGATCGCAAAATCGATAAGGAAATCGATGACGTACCATAAAAGAGAGCGGATTCTTACCAGAAGGAAAGAACCAAAGAGCAAATGGAGACAAGATGTGGAGCTTTATCGAAGATTCCAATAATAGCAAAAGGTGAGAGCTAGGGTTAAATCAATGGCGTACAAAGGATTCACAGCTCGAGAAACAAGGGACTCAAAGACTTTAGTTTTAGAGAGAAGAAAAAATGGAAAGGAGGAAGAAGGACACGTGTCTCCACCTCATTGCGTTGATGACGCGTCTAGTAAAGCTTTTTTGTCAAATACGGCGGTTACGGTGAATTTAATATTATTAAATTTTTACCGACCTCAATAAATTTGTTTTACCTTGGAGTAGGGACCAAGCCAAAGCACTTAGTGGTAAACTCGTACTTATAAGATCGGTACGAGTTTTAAATTCCCGGTTTGGGAGAGTTTTAGTTGGAATTGAAGTCACTGGGACCGGTACAACACGTAATATTCGTATGGGCCTAAAGTTTTAAGAGTTGGGCCTTTATAGTCTTTTCTTTTTTTCTTGGATTATTTTCCACTGTGGAAACGTCTAAAGCATGGACTTACATTAGCTTCTTGCAAATCAAAGTAATTTGTAACGTCTCGAAATTCTCCATAACGTTTATTAACTCCAAGATAAGATCAAATCCGAAACAAGAAAATCTCTGAAACTTTCAAAATGTAATCATCTACATCTACTCACAGAGAAAACCACAACTTTCTTACTACTACACAATTCAATCGTTGATCCAAAAGAGCTTCCTAAACTCCACACTCAGTCTCTCAAACTCCAGATTATACAGTACAGCAGCAAAATGTGGCAAAAATGGAATGAATTGACTAAAGAATGCAACCATAGTGATTAATCAGGCTCAAGTGAGACCCCACAAATTTAATGAAATTACAAAGAATAAAGCTGAGAATCATTCTTTGTTATTCAATCAAAAGCTTAAAAGAGAGTCTTAACCTCAGGAACAAACTCCTGATTCTAAACAGGAAAAGTAAACAACAAACTTAGAATTCAACTTCAGCCTTATACAACAAACTTGAAACAAAAACCAGAAACTGAACAAACACATGGGAATGCAATTGCATTTTGCATCACTGTTCTTATTCATTAACATGTGAATCGAGAGTACCTGAGGAGAGATCCCAAAAGGTGTTTTCTTTTCTCTTGTTCTTAGAAGAAAAGAAACAAGAAAACATCTTTGATAACGATAAACTGGAACAATCCCAATGAGATCACCATCAAATTCCTGGTCATTTCTTGATGAACATAATCCGCCAAAATTTCTTCCATTCCTTCATTGATATGATAAAGCACATGAAGTTTCGGTAAGAAAGAAGCGTTACTGTAACCTCGAGCTGACTGGAGACGAGAGAATTTCGCCGCCGTTTCGAGATCCGATTGCCGAAACGAAGAAATCGAACGATCGGTGGTGGAATCCGGTTTAAGTTTCTGGGTTAGGGCAAATGGGATCGAGGAGATGTCTCTTCCCACTTGGAATCTCGCGGCGGATACGGCGGAGTTGGAGGATATGTTACTCATCGAGAAAGGTAGAGGCTTTGAGAGAGAGAGTTTGTGGGTTTGACGGTGGAGATCGAGGATAGTGCGGCGGAGAGACATCGCGACGGAGGATAGAATTTCGATTTTACTTTTTCTCCCTTTGAAATTGGATCTGATCGGAGAAACAAACCCTAAGTGGTGAATCAGAGCAGAAACTTCGTAGAGGAGAGACCAAGCATTTCAAGGAATTATTGGGCTTTAAAGAATGGGCTTTGCATATCTACTAGAAGCCCAAAATAGAAAATGAGACTTTTAAGCATTGAATTTAGCAAATATAATTAGTGTAGTAATAAGTTTTTGTTAATAATTTATTATTCCAAAGTTGTTAGTCATTAAAATATGATTATGTTTTTAAATAGATATTTTTAAAAAATTCTAAATCGAAACTAAAATCATACAACTAAAGTAGACATATATCTAGTCTAATGTACTTTTCGTACATATATAATTAACCATGTCACTGACTCAGCGCCACGCTAGGAAAGGCGCGGGATAAAAATAACAAAAAACAATATTTTAAAATTGTATGTTAAGTGTTTACATTCATCACAAAATCAATCACTTATTTTAATTAACAAACACGGTCAGTATCCCACACCATGTGCTTCGTCCCTT